GGGACCCACAGCATAGACGGGAGACACCGGGGCTGGGCTGGGCTGGGAAGAGCCGGGGGGGAGCCCAGGGCTGGGGGCTGTGACTCCCTGAGGCCCGGCAGGTGGATCCATGATCAGCTCCACCTGGCTCCACACCGGGTTCAGGCCTGCAGGGCCCGGGGCTGGGACAGCCCTGCCAGAGAGTTGCCCTGTCCAGAGCCTGCTGCTCTGTCCCAGGAGGGTCCATGCAGACAGAGGGGTCCCTGCCCCAGCCCAGTCTGTGTGGGGAAGCAGGAGCACCCCGTGCTGCCCCATTGCTGCCCAGGGATGGGCATGGACAGACGGGCACCAGGGAGGGATGGGGGGGTGGTACAGGCAGGGGCACGTGGGTGAGCAGAGCCTAGGCATCCAGGCTCCCACCCCAGCTGTGTCCCCCAGACCCTACCCCTCAGAGCCAGGCTGAACCCATGTGTCTGGGCTCCCCCCCGGCTCCGCGCAGGGGCTGGCAGTGGTGCCCAGAGCTGCTCTTCCCTTCGCTGCACCAGCTGCTCTCCAGCTCACATCACTCTGGGAACTATTTCATCTCCGCTCACCCTTCAGTGGGGCAGGGCAGATGGGGGTGTTTTCTGTTTGCAGAGCTGGGGGCAGTGCCATGGGGACCATTGGTACTGGCCTGCATGAGGCCCTGCCCTGGGCCTGGGCCTGCGGCTGGAAGGGATCAGGCTACGGGGGAAGGGGTCAGGGCATGGGCTGGAGCAGGATGTGCTCCATGGCCGTCTCCTGTTTACTAGCCATGGCCCAGCACTGTCTATGAGTTGCTTTGCTGCTGCTGCATCACAGCGTTGATTTGGAGAGGCCAGCATCAGCCCCTGCCACCATGCCCTGTCCTGTGTCCCTGCCCCACCCAGAGGTCTCTCTTTTCCCTATGTGGGCACAGCTGGTTTGCTAAGCCCCAAGCGACTCCTTCACTGCCCTGATCTGGCCCTGAGCTGCCTCCAGCGGCCCCATGGTTGGGTGTCCATGGTCCCACTCTGCCATCAGCAGCCACTTTGTGCCCTGAGGCCTGTGAGGGATAGGATGCAAAACAGCTGCCTGAGGGGCTTCCTCCCACCCTCTTCACCACCTCCACCACCGCCACTGGCCTCATGCTTCCCAGTCAACCTGGCACAGGGGAGTGGACCACTGGGGACAAGCCGTGGAGCCCTGGCTGGAAAGCAGATCTCAAGCCCTCACCCTGTCTTCCCTCCAAGAAGCAGGAAACTTTAATGCCCCCTTCCCTGTGGATCCCATTCCCCATTGCTCCCCTCTCTTGCAGTGGGCCCATGGCTCATCCAAGTGACCTGCTCTGTGCTGAATAAATCCCCACTGGGGAGCCAAGGCACCCAGCAGGTGTTGGAGGAGGTGTCTGGACCTGAAGTCATGGGTTTAGCTTTGGCTGGGTCACCCTGCACCCAGGGGGCTGCCCTGCCCCACCCCACACTGTCCAGGGGGTTGAAACCTGTTGTGCCCAGGGCCAGATTAATGCATAGGCAAATTAGGCACCTACCTAAGGCCCTGAGTTGGGCGGGGGCAGTCCACAGCACAAATGGCCTTGTCCACTTCCCTTCCCTTCCCTTCCCTTCCCTTCCCTTCTCTGCAGGGCTCAAAGCGATGTGGGGGGGAACGGGCGTCCGGGGGGGGGGGGGGGGGGTCTTGACCATCCCAGAGCCCATGAGTTTGTTTGCCTCGGGCCCACTAAAGGGTTAATCCATCCCTGATTGTGTCCCTTGCCCCACCCTGCTGGCTCTCTCCCCAGAGGGACCCCAGAGCACCGGACACGGGGTCTGGGTGGGGGCTGTGCTCCCCTATGCTAGGCCAGTCTCCCAGAGGTGGGAACATGACATCTGTTCACACACAGTCCCACAGGACTTCCCTGCTGGAGGAGAGGCCATCGCCACTGCCAGCGTTGCCTTTCCACCTGCCAAACGTGCCCCGAGGAGCCGGATGCCAAGGGAGGTATCATGGCTCAGAGAGGATAGCGAGGCACACAGGGATGTCACGTGCTTTGTGGCAAAGGGACAGGGCAAAGGTCCCCAAGCAGAGTGGCAGGACAGAAGGGCTGGGAGGACATTACGGATCTCTCCCCGGGAGGTCCCTTGTTGACCGACAGAACAGGGTCGCTCAGCCGCCATCCAGCTGCAGCCTCCGAGACCCCACTCCCCTCCGGCAGTGGGGACAGAGCCCGGGCGTCCTGGCTTCCAGCCCCGACGCTGCTCCGAGCAACCAAACCCACTCATGTCCTAGAGCTGGTCCTGCTTCCCTGCTGGCCCTGCTCTAATCCCCCAGGTCCCATGCTGTGCTCAGAGCGGGGAAACAAGCCAGACGTCCCCTATTGCAACCCCCGTGATCCTGATTACCTGGGTTGTTTTCCCTCCAGATAAGCCTCCAAACAGGGGCTTGAGAGACAGAGAAAGAAAAAACTGACACAGGTACACTACTGCTCTCTAAAGTAGCTTTTATAATCTGTCAGAGAGAAATCAAAGAAATCCTACAGAAGCGGGGCTGGAAGGATCCTCCAGAGGTCACGTCTAGTCCAGCCCCAGCTGAGGCAGGTCAGCCCTGTTCAAACTATGCCAGACAAGCTATCATCTAAAACCCTACACAAGACTACCGTTAGCTTTGACACAACGTGAGGCATGACTCTCTAACCTGCCACGGGGTCTAAAGCTCTCTTCACCCCACCCAAAATAAAGGAAAGAAAAGAAAAGAGGGAGGAAAAAAAGATTCTGTCCATCAAAATCATGGCCTTGTGGAGTTGCACCCCCAGGGTGCAGAGAGGTGTGCTGCTTACTGGGCAAACCAGACAGCAAGAAGCAATGGCAGAGTTGAAGCAACCTAGTGGCACACACAAATTATGAATTGTAGTGTACAATCAACTCAGGGACAGAGGGAGCAAGGGGGGCTCTGGGGCACGACCCGCATGCCGTGCAAGCCTGTTCACCTCCATGCTAAGAAACATCTCTGAGGGCATCTAACCTTTACCTAGTACTTTTTCTCATAAGCATCAGACTGTGGTCCAGGATCAGCAGCCAGCTGATCAACCACAAGCAGTCCCCAAATCCCACCCCTTTGCCCACCCCGGACCAACCAGGCCATGGCCCAGCAGGTTTACTGTCACATGTGAGCTATTTGCAGTCCCAGAGCAAGGGGCTTTGCTCTGGCAAAATCCCAGTGATCAAAAGCAAGGCATTTGCAAGGGCTGAATCAGTGCAGCGTGTCCCTGTGCTCTGCTGTTCCCTCTCCTCCTCTATGGGCCCCTCAGGAGGCAGTGCAGGCTGCACCGGGCTCTGCTCAGCTGTGGGAACAAGACAGGGAGATGTAAGCGCTGGAGGGACTGCAGCACAGGGGCAGGCACTCAGCTCCAGCCTGGGGTCACTCCCTGCACTGAGGGGAGGAGATGCCCCTTCCCAACACACCTCCCACTGACAAGTCCCCTCCCCTGCACTGCTCTAGCTCTGCTCCTGATGGTTCCTGGGCTTCAGCCCCTTGCCCGGACCTGCATGACCCAGAGTCCAGGCTGCCAAGGATGGTGTTGGACACCCCACTCTGCCCCTCTCCCCCCAGGAGCAGCGGGGCTGGCGCACACGCAGCCATGCGGCTCTCCCGGAACTCGCCTCCCTCAGCTGCCTGGCTTGGGGTGATCTGGGGCTCCCAGGGCTGGTCAGAGAGCAGCAGCATCACTTTTGGAGGATCCCTCAGGCCAGAGGCCCTCACACTTACCTTTTACACAGGTGGTGGACCTGTGGTTGCTCCCTGTGCAGGGAGGAAGGACAGGCATTATTAGTAAGGTGTTTCAGGCTAGGTGAGATCCCCCAGCCCTGCCCTGCACCTCCTAGCCTGGGCACAGGAGAGCCAGGTGGGCACAAGCTACTGTGAGTGCAGGCAGGAGGCCCTTTGACTCACCCTGCCCTGCACAGCAGTGACCAGACACCGGTGGGCAGGGGCTGACCCCTGCCCCTGTCCCTCCCCCAGGTTTCACCCAAAGAGGTGGGATTGTCAGGGGCCCCATGGCCCCACATGCAGTCAGAGCTGCTAGCTTCATAGGAGGGACCCCAGCCCAGGAAACAGCACTTTCCCAGGCCACAGCAGGCAGGCCAGGGGATGAGGTAGGTCTTGCCAGGCCAGGGATCCACATGCTAAAAGCAGCCTCCAAGGACCAGGTGCAGGAAATCCACCCACCCCCAAGCTCCCAGCCAGGCCAGTGCTGGCACCTGGGTGGGGGGGAGGGGAGAGACAGTGCCAGCAGGATGACAGTCCCTCCCCAGCCTGGCTCTTCAACCAACAGGCTGGCTCTCCATGCTCCCTGCAAACCTGCCAGGCCCCAGTGTCCCCTTCCCTGGGTCCTCCCTCACTCTGCCATTCAGCAGAGCCATCCGAGCCCTCGCGGGCTGAGGGGGAAATGAGAGGAGGTTAGAGCTCCTTGAGCACAGGGACCAGTTTCCCCGGCCCCACGCCCCACACACCCCATGTGAGCCCTGCAGCAGGAAAGCCCAGATCCCACGGTGATGGGTGCTCTCCTGCCCCCACCCCGGACAGGAGCAAAGCTCAGGGCTCAGCCCAGCCACACCAGCACCAACACCCATCAGCTGCAGGGAGGCAGCACGGGGCTGGGCAAGTCTGTCTGCCCGCGTGGTGGGGCGGCTCTGCACAGAGCTGCACAGCGCTGATAACAGGGGAGAGAGAGAGGAGGGGGCTTCACACTTACAGGAGCACTGCTTTGTATCCTGCTCCCCATTTCCCTGCAGAGAGAAGGCAGTGGTCAGCGAGTCCGGCTGCTTCCACAACTGGAGGCAGCTCTGACCTGGGGCCGCAGCCCAGAAAGGAGCTGCCTGCCCATCATGGAGCCATGGGCTCAGACCGGGACACAGGGCCCAGGACACCCCCACTGGGGGAGGAGATGGGGCTATGCGGCATAGTTCACATGGAGCCCAAGAGCAGCCCGCGGGGCCCCTCAGCAAGGCAACCGCACAGCCCTGGTGCTGGGGTCTGGCTGCTGCCGCCCCTGGGGCAGGTGGACCTGGGAGCCCAGAGCAGCTGGAAAATCCACCGTCCCCCGCCAGGTCCCGGACATGGCAATGATGAGCCCTCCCTGCTCCTCCCTCCTGCCCCAGGACCTGGGCATGGCCTGGACCCAAGGGCTTTGCCCAGCACTTACTGAGGAAGTAAACAGCTGTGCCCATCATGATGATGACCAGCACGACAGCGATAACAATGCCCACAATAAGCATCAGGTTGGACTTAGGCTCTGAAAGAGGAAAGGGGTTTCTGAGCAAGAGGAGCCCCCAGATCTGCCCCCACCAGTGTGTGGGCCATGTGCCCCCTCTCCATCAGTGCCCTGTGTCTCCTCCAATACCCCAGCCCTTCTCACCTTAGTGGGGCCAGTCAGTCCCTCCCACCACTGCCACTCAAGGTCTCCTCCCTCCCCATGCGAGGGTCACTCACCCTTGTCCCAGGCCACTCTCAGGGCTGTGCCCAGGCTCATGTGCTCCACACTGCAGGTGTAGCTGTGGTTGCTGCTGGGGTTGATCTCAATGGTAGCCCAGATCTGGTAGGTCCCGTCTCCACTGGGAATGACCCCTGAGAGGCTCGTTTCCTGGGGCTTTTCCCCCCCGTTCTTCAGCCAGACGACAGCCACATCCCTGGGGTAGAAGCCATGGACCCGGCAGGACAGGGTGGTGAGTCCATCCCCGGATGACGGCTTGTCACTCACCTGAGCTTTGGGGGGCTCTGGGAGGGAGGAGACACCCATTAGAGTGACCCCTGCACTGGACCCTTGGGCCTCAGATCCCTGCCAGGAAGTGGGGCTCACCCTCTGCACTGGGCCATACAAAGATGGCTCCATTGGCCATTTCGGGCAGGAGCAGATGGCATTGGGGCAGAAGCACAGGGGATGGGAGACACGGCTGCTCTGGGCTTGGGTCTGCAGGAATGGGGTGCGGTACAGCTCATCTCTGATTCTTAGACATGCGCCCAAGGCACAGACACCCCGCGAGCTCCACCCAGCTGGGAGGCCTGACCAGGGCAGGGACAGGGCACACCGTGTCCCAGAGGCACTGTGGTCTTGCCCAGTGGCAGGACTGAGAGGCAGCGCTCGGCACCCCAGACAGAGGGCTCTGGGGTGAGTGCTCCCCATGAGAAGGAGGTGCCTGGTCATGCACTCTGGCAAGACAAGTAGGGAGGCGTCCTCGGGTCTGGGTCCAGTGGGACACCCCAATACTCCCAGCTCTTGCCCTTCTGTACCCCCAGCCTGCCCAGGTCTGGATGTGGGGGTAGCCCAAGGGCAGATGCTATCAAGAAGGGAGCCCTGCGGCCCCAGTCCTGGGCAGCTCCTGGCCGCAGACGGGTGTTGGGAAGAACGGAGCTCCTCCTGCCCCATACTCACTGCTCTGTGGCCGTGGGCTGTGCCCATACTCCAGGTATCTCCGCAGGATTTTCGGGCACTCCCGCTCCAGGAAGTTCCTGTAGTACTGCAGGGCCGCGTTGTTCCCGTTCCACTGGCGCTGCGTGGCTTCAGCCGTGGCCTCCGCGATGGGGGCCAGCCACCGGTGCTCCACCGTGTCGTAGGTCAAGAATTCCTCCCCATCAAAGCCCAAGTGCCGGAAGCCCCTGGTGCCACCGTCTGCCTGGATCTCACAGCCGTAGGCGTACTGAAATATGTGGAAGCCTGCAGGAAGAGGGCACAGGTCGTGGAAGCCAGGTCCTGAACACCAAGGGACCCACTCCCGGCCAGGACCGGCTCTGACCGTGTGGCTGTTGCTTCTGATTAGCTCGAAGCAGAGGAGGAAGCACAGGCACTTTGGGAGGCTGACAAGGCCCTGGGCGAAAGTCAGGCCCTCCCCCTGCTCCCAGGCCCAGCTCCCCAGGCAGCTCACCCTGGCTTTGGTTGTAGAGGTGCAGGAGGCTGCGGACCTTGCCGCGGAAGCAGCCCTGCCGCAGCTTGTGGACGCGGTTCTCGCTCTCCCAAAGTGCAGGCGGGGCTGCCCGCATCCAGGCAGCACGGGGCTGCATCTGCTGGGCCTCGCCATCGTACTCCACAAAGAGCTCCCCGTCCACATAGCCCTGCATCGTGAACTCGGGCAGGTCCGGGCTGGGCTCCGACACAGCTGTCAGGAGGTACTGCAGGGTGTGGGGGCCTGCCGAGGCTGGGGGTGGTGGAAGAGTGGTCAGTCAGTCCCAGGGATGCTGTTCCATCCGGCCCCCATCCCACGGCACCATGAGGCTGGACGGGACAGCCTTGGCTCCCTGGAGAAACCAAGGGACAATCCCCAAGGCCTGGGAGCAGCTCGGGCTTGTGGCAGCAGCTGGCATAGGAACAGGCACCCTTGCAGCCAAAGAGGCACAGAAGCCGTATCCCGTCGGATGGACACACAGATGCACGCTCCCTCTCGGCCTCTGCAGGAACCCAGCAGGGAGGGCCTTCAGACCAGGGCTGCCCAGCATTAACAGCCTCTGCGGCCATCAGTGTACCAGGGTAAAGCCAGACCACTCCTCACAAGCCCTTGCTCCCACCTGCCAGCACTGGGAGAGGAACCCAGCCCCAATGCTCCAACCGGCTTCCTCCCAAAGCTGGGAGAGAACACGGGTTCGGATTCCCAGCTGCACCCCACTCCCCATCCTTTCAGTCCCACCCAGTCCAGAGGTGGGGGCCGGGGGCGGGGAGAGCCCAGGCATCCTAACCGACTCAGAGCAGGGAGGGAGAGGCTGGTCTTGCCCAGTTCCTCCAGTCCCACTTGGGGACTGGGAACCATGGTTATCAGAGCACATTGTATGGGGTAACAGGAGACAGCTGGACCTGGGTTGGAGACACAGGTGGAGAGCTACATAATAGGGACACATGGGCACACCTGTGAATGCACATAGGGTAGAGAAAAACCCTCCTTTTCGGGCAGGCCTTAGTCACAAGCAACAAGGATGTGATCCTGCCTGTGGGGTTTGCTCTCCTCTCCTTGCCCTGAGGCCCATTTTGGCCTATGTCACTTCCCTGTTCCTCAATCATTCTGCTTTCTCATAGCCGCCTCCTGGAGCCTTGGCTGTGAAGGGTGGCACCAATCAAATAGATTAAAAAAATAGACTCACTGGAGTCAGAAAATCCCAAGGACCCCACCAGATACCGTAGGTGCGACCTCAAAGTAGGTATTGCAGGCAGAAGGGAGTGCAACGGTGGGGAGGGCAGCAAGCCAAGGGCAAAGGCAAAAGGCAGGGGCTTTGGAGAGAGCACGGTGGGGCCAGCAGGAAGGAGCTGGCCAAGAGCTCCCGCTCCTCACCTGCAGTAGCCCTGGCAATGCCCATCGCTCCTAGCAGCCAGATGAGGAGCCAGACCAGATGCAGGGGCTTGGACATGCCAGGCCAGCCTCTCCCCAGGTCCCCTGAAGACATCGTTCCTTCCCCCGAGTATCCAGGCACCAAAGTGCCAGCCAACTTTCTTATAAACTGAAACCCGGCAGCTTTCATAGCATTTCCTGCCTCTGCCCCACCCCTAGCAACACGCGGAGCTGCCAAGTCACCAGTGCCTGCTTAGATTTCTTTTCTTTTTTTTCTTCTTTTCTTTTCTTTTCTAATTTAATTTTTTTCTGTGTTCCTAGCCAAATCAACTGAATCAATTCCAAATCCATGAGTCAGTCCACAACCATAAGTGGCCCTACTACTGGCAAGCATCCTCCACCCCCATCTGGGGCTTCAGATGTTTCTAAATCCTTTGGTGGGCATCCTACGTGCAGGCCCAAGTCGGCAGGCTTGGGGTTTGGATGCCCCCAAGTTTCGCTTGCCCTCAGCCATATGGCCCCAGGACCAAACTTGGGAGGAGTCTCCCATTTCCATAAAGTGGGCATAAAGTCAAGATCTCCACACTCCAGCAGCTAAGTGGGAGGTTAATGGTGTATTACCTTGGCGGGTACTACCCCTGTTGCAGGAGAGCGGTCATCCCTGGGTGCAACTAGGACAACCACCTTGGTGGTCACAGTGTTTCCCCTACCCGGCAAACATAGGCACTACACTTGATCTGAGCCAACAAGAGGGTTTCACCCCTGCAGCTCTGTACAGCACAGAAAGCACAGAGCAGTGACAGCAGCAGCCAGAGCACCAGCCCATGCAGCCAGCAGCACGAGTCCTGGGCTGACTGACCCCCAGACAACCCCTGCCATTGCTATAGGTCCTTTCCCTTGTGCCCGCATCGAGGGCAGCAGACAACCCAGGCACGAACGGCGCGTGTCTCGGTGATTGGGAGTGGCACGGCGGTGCCGGGAGCACAGCAGTGGTAAGCAGGGGAGCTCCCACAGATGCCACCATCACTGTCGGTGGGGCATGGCGAGTGCCTACCAAAGGTTGGTGAACACCCAGAGCCGCCACCGGCAGCATTGGCAGCGGCCAGCATGGATTGCGGACTGTCCACAGACACCACCGGTGGTGTTGGTGGTGGGGTGGCAAGTGGCGACGGCGCCTTTTTGCAGGGGGTTCACCACCACGCTCAGAGGGTGCATGTGCATCTGCGTGCACCCCCTACGTGTTGCTCCTGAATCCAGGCACAGATGGCCCCGTGAAAATGCAGCAGCATCTGCAGAGGAGCATGTCAGTCAGGCACCAAGAAAAACATTAGACAAGAACCAAGGGAAACTTATTGGGATTTAGAAAGGCATCCTGGTAGCTGACTGCTCCTTGCACCCAGCAGAAAGTCCCACGAGTCTGAACAGATCTCAAGAGGTCCCCCATACAGCGATGCAGCCCAGAGCTCAACTCTGTGGGATTCAGGCCTGTGGATTTATATTTTCCTTCCAGACCAACACACAAGCCCCTGCCCACCTTTCCCCTGGGGAAGGGCTCATGCCTGGCTCACACAAGGCAGGGCAAATTTGCACCTGGATCACATAATCCCTGACACAGGTGTGTTCACAGTCAGGGGCTTTTTCTGTCCAGTCCCACAGGAGCACAGCTCCTAGCGTAGCTGCTGGAGCTGGTTGTGAGGAGGCGGCAGCTCCCTCTTCAGTCCATGGGAGGAGCACTATGTTTATTGCATGTGATTTCTCCGAAATGGCACCAGCTTCCCCTATCTCACAGTCTGTTTCCTGCATCTAAACTGCTCACGTGGTCACCAGTGACTGCGGGGGCAGCTCCTGAGAGCGCTGGAGCCAAAGCCGCAGGAAATGTGCGAGCTGGCTCAAAAGACCAAGGGAGCCTTCACCTTGGCCCCACATCTGCTGTTAAAACCCAGCAGGCCATGCAATAGCAAATGAAAACCTTAAGAAGAAACTATTAACAAAAATAAGTCGTACCCTTTCTGTTGCTCCTCAGTGGCAAGAAGGCAGGGCAGACGTACACTTTTACACCCTGAATAAATCGGGGACGTATCTAGAGCACAGGCTTTCCTGAACCCATGTTCACTTCCCCAGAGGCTGTGAAAGGACAGCCCAGGACAGAGTGAAAAGCAGAGGGAGGAATAAGTTGCAAACTAGCATCACCCTCCCTAAGTCCCCTCTCATTGTGAGGCTGTCAAAGGGGAACTGAAAAAAAACCCCCTTCGTTTGTACATTTTCCCCCTCTCTCTTCCAGAAAGCGAATAGTTCATGTTTGGACAGTTCATGTTATTTGCACTTTAAGCATTATAGGTTTGCCTCAAGCTGGCAGCTGAGACTCTCTCTGCTTCCCCCAGTTCCACGCTAGGCCCACTGAGGCAGATGTTACAGGTATCTGTAAAAAGCCCCAGCTTGTGCCATCCCCAGAAATCAAGTGTGGCTCCTCCCTCCCACCGCACTGCCCTCCCCTGCCCACATGCCCTGGTTGAAGATGCCCAGACTCAGCTAATCCGAACGTGCATGAACGAGGCTCAGCCGTGTTTGAGGCCAGTGAGGGCTCACTCTGCATACATTTAATATGGCTTCACCCCATGTGACAAGACCCCAGTTGAAACCCAGACTTACAGGCCCGGTTCCTAACTGGAAGTAAAGGCATTTAATCTCCTCCACCCCAGACTGGATTCAGGCACCAAGCCGCCTGCTATTACAGCATCCAGAGACTCCCTGTAGGTGCAGCCTGAAGGATCCAACAGGATTAGATCAGGACCTCCTTATTAGCTTGGGGTAGGAAGCAGGTGCAGGGAAGCCCTGGCCAGGAGGGTCCAGGGCACAACTAGTTACTCTGCCGAAAAGCACCAGGGCAGAGCCCTGTTCTGGACAATAGGGGCTCTGCTGGAGTCACAGGTGTGGATTGCCAGGGAGACCTGTGGGGCCAGGGCTAGCCAGTCCCCTGACCAGAAGGGGCAGGGCTGGGATAAGAGATCAACCAGGGCCTGAGCCGCAGCACCGGGGAAGCTGAAGGGGAAGGAGCACTGCCACAGGACAGCTGGTGAAGGGAGCCTGGCTGCAGGCCAGCTGGAAGGCCTGGGAGATATTGAAGCCTTGACAGCAGGGAGAATAGGACTTCAGGCAAGTAGAAGCAGGGCAGGCAGAGTATGCTGGGAGTTCGTGTTGTAGCCAGATGGCAGGTGCTTTTTATAGGAGTTGAATCTGGAGGGGCAGGCAGCGGGACAGGG